CACGAACTTTCACTGTATCTTCTGAAATACCAGCGGGAAGTATTTTGGGACCTTGTCTCTTCATTGTTTTTATTAACGACATTGTCGAAATCGTGTCAAATGCACTTGTTTTATTATTTGCAGATGATTTGAAATTGATCCGCATCATACAATCGCCCATTGATGCCATCATTTTTCAGAGTGCCATTAATCAATTGAGCGACTGGTGTACTGAAAATAGCTTGCATTTGAACCTGAAGAAGTGTTTCGTTATGACATATTCGAAAAGCGGAAACATAGTTAACTACGATTATTCGATCAACAACGGCCAACATACATTTGAACGGATCAATTTACACAAGGATCTGGGAGTTGTATTCGACACGAAGCTAACATTCGTCATGGGGCAATTGGTTTCATCAAACGCACATTAAAGAATAAGTTTACAATTGAATCTGCTAAAATATTATATTGTTCACTAGTCAGATCAAAATTAGAGTATGCGAGTATTGTATGGCAACCATATCACCGTATCCATTCCAATAGAATAGAATCAATTCAGAAAGATTTTTTGATATGGACATTGAGATTTATTTACCAAAGAGATGAAAATTTTGTGCTACCACCGTATCAATTTAGATGTGATGTTTTAAATATTCAACCGCTTTGGAGACGGCGTATAAATGCCTCTGTATTTTTAATTTATGATCTCCTTTTGGGTAAAATAGTGTCGAGTTCACTTAGAAATAAAATATGACGAAAACCAAAGAAATTTAAGAAGTACAGAACTGATTAGAGTTGCCTTAATTTTCATCGGATTATGCACATAATTAGCCGTTTTACGTATACGATTTCTGATCTGATTCATATGGCTGAAAATATCTCAATATAATGTTTGGCTTAAGATTTATTTAAGTAAAATGATAACACAAACAAAAATGAAAATAAATACTGTACGTGTTTTTGCCATTTTCGGATTATTATGTGTCTCAGCCGCAAAGTTGTTATCGGCGATATTTATATTTATATGCCAGACGAAACATAATTTCGCTCTATTTTTTTAATATCTTGCATTTTTTTCGATCTCTCTTCGACGTAATTCATAAATAATCATGCTCTGAATGACACTAACTAACATTCTCACAATTTTCCTCTAGAATTAATTGGTTTATTTCTTTATATGCTTTCAGTTTTCTCTGTACATTTTTTATGGTACTCTACTAAGAGGTGTAATGCGCTCAATAAGCGTAATGCTTTGTTTGCCGAACTTCGTATAGACAGTGCCATCTATATATAGAATGGGATATTATTTCACAAGTTTGAGAATGAGCGCATATGTTATTCCAAAAATTGTTGAAAAATAATTTAATAAATTGTTTCATTTTTTTGTTTTGAAAGTGAAGTTAGCACAATTAGCATTAGACACAATGTTCGACTGTGGGTTCCACCAGCTGTCAAATATCGTTAATCCAGCCGGGAATGTTTTGGATCTTGTATTTACAAACAAGTTCTACGAAATGGCGTTGATTGAATCAACAAGACCATTGGTTAAATCCGACATTTGGCACAAAGCAATTGAAATCGAAGTGACAATTGATGAAAACGAACCCAAATCACCGCAATCATCGGAAATATACGCATACAATTCGGCGGATTTCGATGCGATGAATGAATTCTTCATTGTAAGTGACATTTTGTTGGGGATAAATCGAATTGATGACCTCGAGAATGCATTCCAATTATTTGGCAATGTTCTACACGAGGCAATAGACTCATTTGTTCCAAAAATCACCGTACAAAAGAGCACTGATCCACCGTGGTATACAAAGCACTTGAAACACATGAAAAATGTCAGAAGAAAGGCGTATAAAAAAGCAAGAGAAACTGGTAACTTTGACGAATACAATGCCATCACAGATTCGTTCATGCAGTTACAAAGCCAGTTGTTCAAGTCGTACATCAGCCGCATTCAATTGCAAATCAGAGCAAATCCAAAACATTTTTGGCGATTTGTAAACGACAGAAGAAAGAGAAGTGACATTCCGCCTTTTGTTGAATACAACAATGAGACTGCGAGCACAGACGTATCAAAAGCGGAATTATTTGCTGATTTTTTCGAAAATCAGTATACACAGAGCGACAATATCGACTTGGATCAATTGCTGAGTGAATGCGGTGACATATCGTTTGACATTGACATCAATGAAGTAGACGTGATGAAAGCACTACAAGCGATCAATGTAAACAAAGGAGCCGGCCCAGATGGTATTTCACCAAAACTACTGAAAAATTGTGCGCATACTTTGTCAAAGCCGTTATCAATGCTATTTCGTAAGTCGTTGCATCAAGGATGTGTTCCGACAGCATTGAAAAATTCCAGAATTGTGCCAATATTCAAGTCTGGAAAGAAAAGCAGTGCATCGAATTATCGGCCGATCGTGATAATACCAACAATAGCCAAATTATTCGAAATTGTTGTGTATAACAAAATCGACACATTTGTTAATGCGAAAATCAGCCACAATCAACATGGATTCGTGAAAAATCGATCAACCTCAACAAATTTACTGCAAATGGTAAATTTCACGATGGACTCAATGATCAAAAGGTGTCAAACGGATGTGCTGTACACAGATTTTGAGAAGGCCTTCGACCGTGTGAACCACAAGAAATTGTTGCAGAAGTTGGTGAACTTTGGATTCGGCCGACGACTTGTCAAATGGTTCCATGGATATTTGACAGCGCGAACACAATTTGTTGGAATCGGGGAGAGAAAGTCAAGAACTTTCACTGTGTCATCGGGAGTACCTGCGGGAAGTATCTTGGGACCATGTCTTTTTATTATTTTTATTAATGACATTGTCGAAACCGTAACAAATGCACTTGTTTTATTATTCGCAGACGATCTAAAACTGATACGAACAATACAATCGCCCATTGATGCCATTATTTTCCAAAGAGCCATTGATCAGTTGAACGACTGGTGCACTGAAAACAGCCTAAATTTGAATCTGAGGAAATGCTTCGTGATGACGTATGCAAAGGGTGGATACGCAATCGACTACGATTATACGATCAACAACGGCCAACATACGTTTGAACGAATCAGTTTGCACAAGGATCTCGGCGTTATTTTCGACACAAGACTAACGTTCATCAATCACATCGATGCGATCACAGCCAGTGCACTTGGGGCAATAGGATTCGTAAAACGCACATTAAAGAATAAGTTCACGATTGAATCGGCTAAAATGTTATATTTTGCGCTAGTCAGATCAAAGTTAGAGTACGCGAGTATAGTTTGGCAACCATACCACCGTATACACTCCGATAGAATAGAGTCAATTCAGAAAAAATTTGTGATATGGACATTAAGATTTGTTTACCAAAGAGATGAGAATTTTGTATTGCCACCGTATCAGTTTAGATGTGATGTTTTAAGTATTCAACCGCTTTGGAGACGGCGTATTAATGCCTCTATATTTTTAATTTACGATCTCTTATTAGGTAGAATAGTGTCGCGTTCGCTTAGGGATAAGATTGTATACACAAGACAGCAATATAACGTAAACCAAAGAAATTTGAGGAATACAGAACTTATTAGAGTACGGATGTTTACAGCTGAATATGCACATAGTCAACCATTTTACATGGCGTGTAGGAATTTTAATTTAATAAGAGAAACATTTTTGGAATCGGCATCGAGACACATTTTTAGAAATAGTATTGTTGAATTGGACAATTTGTTATTTAATATTCGGTAAAATAAACTAAGAAAAATTGTGTTATGAATAGTAATATACAATGGACACAGTCGATATCTGCTGCTCCGAAGTCGAAAAGATTGGCGGCTGGCATTCGATTCGGGTAGTGTTTCATTGCAAATGATATTGTAAATAATTGTGATAAAATCAGTCTGTGATCAGACGGTGAATAAATAAATAAGGAAATAATAAGAATTTCTATTTAAAAAAAACATAAATTTATATGCGTTTTAATTTAACTTAAAAAGCCTCGGGTGTAGAGTGTGTAGATCTTGTAGAAATGATTTTGTTAAAATCTCCATACGTAAACTCATAAGTGTGAGTGTGACATTTGACAGATAGATACAAAACGTAATGTTATTGTTCTCTTACATACTTGTCATACACTCGTGTGAATTATTCTGTTCTGTTAAGTTCGTTTATTCCGTTCATTTATTTTATTTATATTCTTAATCTCGCAATCACATCGCAAAATTGCGTAAAAATGGCAGATTCTATTAACAGTTTTATTGATCTTGACACCGGCTGTATAAAATATCCTGATGGAGACTTTACTTTTATATTACACTTTATTCTGTTTAGTTCGCCAAAAGATAGAGTGAGGGCGTTAGTGTGACAGATTTCATATAAAAAAGCTACTGTATTAGAGATCTTACTCTACTGGCTTCTTTCAAAAATACGTCATGCTAGAAGCTATGATAAACTGCTATGATAACTTAGTAAATGAACCATGGTTGTACAAACGCAAATATTTATGTAGGGTAAAACAAAAAAACATCAAGTACATTTTTCCATATTTTGATTCAATATTTTTTGTTATCTCAAACACAATAGTTTTCGCTTACGATTTGTAAATAATTTATTGTTCTTTATATCGCCAAAATTAAAATTTCAAATTTCACCGAACTTGAAAGTTTTAAACATTAACTGCATTCTCACGATGGATTTGTTTATGGCAGTAGATGTCTCTAATGAACAAAATGAAATTTTATCTGGCCTATCATTACCGATACAATCCATTTGAATAACAATATGAATAACATGTTATGACAATATAGGAACCACTAGCGAATTTGGTTTCGATTGAATAGCAACAAGATTGATTTTTTGGATTACAATATTATTTATTTTGTGGATAGAAGTAGTTTTTTAGTCTATTGGAAATAAAAAAATACAAAGCCTAGTTTTAAATAATAATAAGAGAAGCAAAACAATAGAGGTTGGAAAGCAGAGAAAGAAAAAAAAACCGGTTACGTGTTACCGAATTACGCATTTTTAGTCCTCGAAGTTGGTTCTTTGAAATTTATTTTTATTGGACACATTTTTAGGCAATATGATGTTTATTTATTTCCCTTTATCAAATTTTTTCATTACATATGGTTTTTTCTACATGATGCATCATATCATATTAGACCCAATGGCGCATGTATTACACACGACAATTATTACTTGGGAAACTTTTTAACTTGGTTCAAAACGCCAGCAGCAAAAGTTAAACCTCCAACAGCTGCTCCCGTTTTGATTGGGTGGTCTGTGAATTTAAAATAAAATAATAATTTAATTTTTTCGATTGACATAATATTATCATCTGCGATCACGGCAGTGAACATTTTTCTGACTTCGACCAATTCGAGTACGAAAAATATTATTTTCATAAACAAATTCTTTTGAAGTACTTTCATTGGTTTGTAATTAAAATTAACGAACAAAATTAATGAATAGACTTACTACTTGCACCGCTCTGAAAGTAGAAAATAAAAAATTTGATAAACATTTTCTGAATTATTCTTTTCCTTATCATTTAATGTGATAATGAATTGAAATTATAAAAATTAATCAATTTTTTATTATTACCATTGCAGCAGCGGTACCTACTACGGCCGTTGCACATGCGGCCGCAATGCCAGCACCCACTGGATTTTTCGGCACCTTAGCAGCAACATTTCTTATAGCAGCCATTGGATTTTTTGACAAAAATTCAGCAGCTTTATTTACACCATTATTTAATCCAGGTGCACCCATCGCAATCTATGAAGAAATAGAATCATGAAGAAAACAGAGTTATAGATCGATTTAAACCACTTACAGAAACCAAGACCAAGAAACACAACGACGACAAAAAACGCATTTTAACTATTTATTACTAAGCGGTTCAATTTAGTGGATATTAATTTATTTGATATCGTCTAATGTTCCATAGACAAGTGAAATTCACGTATTATTCGATCCATTATTTATACCTATATTTTTTTAATTTGAAAAAAAAAAACAAACAAACAAACGCGCATAATATTATATCAAAAAATTTCATTTTAAAATTAAATGCGTATATTATTCAAAACAGAATTCCAAACAAAAATTCACAGTCGCGGGGTTGGCAATATCCCAAGTGACGCAGTACCAATATACATATGTGTTTTGCGTCAATTATATACATACGCCAAAGTAATGAAAATCGATTGGAGCCGTATGATTTTTGGGAAGGGCGTTTGGCATACCTCAAGAGTAATTGGGTCTCAAATGAATGGGTTAGGATTAAAGTGAGCTGAAATTTTCATATGAAACATGTTGCTCTTTTATTTTCATCTCAGTTAATTTGGTCATTTATTTTTACCGATTTCATGATTGAGATTTTTACAACAAAAACAACAATCATTTATAGACCGATTGTACCTTTCGGTGTGTGGTCTTTTACGAAACGACTAGACTCGAATTCCTCTTACAATTCCTCTCCAAACTTCCCTATCGAGAGCCAGGTCTTGAGTTTCTCTACACCAATCATACCCTCTAACATTCAAATCACATTTAACCGAATCCAAATAACGTCTAAGGGGTCTTCCTCTGTTTCTCGGTCCATCTGCTTCGGCATACAAAATCTTCTTTGGTAAACGCAACTCACCCATACGTTGGACAAGTCCAAACCATCTCAGTCTCGACATTCTTGCAACTTCATCCACCGACACAACATTCAAATCATCTCGAATTCTCTCATTTCTTATACGATTTTCCCATTGGTCTCTTCGCGATACTCCTGAAATCATTCGCAAAACTTTCATATCAGCTACTTCCAATTCATGGATTAAATTTTGAGAATCGACCCAGCTCTCGCTTCCGTAAAGGATAGTTGGCCTGAAGATTGACTGATGAATCATCAACTTCGTCTCCTTACTCAACTCACGTTTATTGAAAACGTGTGATCTAAGCTGTGCTACTACCTTATTTCCATTCATTCTACGTTGTTCAAACTCTTTATCAAACTTGCCATCTTCAGAGAAGATGCAACCCAAATACTTGAATTGTGGTACTTGTTCAAGCAAGTTTCCACTCAGTTCACACTGGACAGTTTGATGAGTTTTGCCCACATGCATAACCTGGGCTTTTGAACTGTTAATGGTCATTCCAAAGTCTGTACAAGCCGCTTGTTAGTCTCTGACACTATTTTGTAGCTCCTGTTCAGAACTACCGAAAAGTACCAAATCATCTGCGTATGCTAAGGCCGAAATTAAGTTACCCCCAAAGCTACGTTACCCCTTAGGTAAAATAATAATAATAATAATAATAATAATAAATAATAAACAGAAGCGGTGAGATTGTACAGCCCTGTCTAAGACCATTACGCACCTCAAACCATTCGCTCAAATCACCATCCACCCTAACTAATGCTTTACTGTTTGCGTACAAACTTTTAATTGCCCTAAGAAGAGATTTTTTTATATGAAAATTTCAGATCACTTTAATCCTAACCCATTCAAATCAAGTCTACAGTAGATTGCCAAATGTCGACACACGACCAAATGTCGGAATACCGAGAGGTGAATTGAAATTAAAAATTGAAAATTCATTTGAATTGCATTTTTAAAAGTAAATTATGAAAGATCAATATCAAATCTCTTTATTATAATCCAAATTTTAATCAAAAATCTATTATTGCTTTCACAAATTACGTTCAAAAAAAATTCGGCATTTTTATCACTTTTTCACGTCAAAAGTTAAACTATGTCATTTTGAGACAAGCCGGTAAAATGCGTTTTTTTATATGAAAAAATAACTAGTTTGGAAAAAAAATTATATCGGCGAATTGTAGATAGTTTAATTTAATTATTGAACAGAAATTTTAAAAAGTTTCAAGTGAAACACTTTGGATTTGACAGATGTGACAGTTAAAGTCGTATTTGGATCATTGTGAAATTCAAACCAAAAATATTCTAGATCAGTGAAATAACGTAATATTTTTAAATATTTTTGCCACTTTACTATAGAAAAATAAGTAAAATGAAATATGGAGCAAAAATATATCAATCTAATAATTTTAACTCCAATATTTTGTATTGTTTACCTCAATGTAAATAGTGCGTTCATGGGCTGTCAAAACTTAAAGTTTACAAGTTTCGTAGTGAAAATGCATGAAATATGTCGAGATTAGGGAGCCGAGAATTGGACGACGAATATCCGACATTTGGAATTTTCGATGTTATGACGAAAAAATGGAAAAAAATAATACATTTTTAGAAATTACTATCTTTTGAGAAACGTGAAATGAAGCACAATTAAATTCTGCATCGAATTGTGTATAAAGTGATATTTTTTCATGAAATCAAAAATGTTAAATATTAAATTGAAGTTGAAAATTCAAACAAATAGTCCGACATTTGGGCGAGTGTCCATACATTTTTAGAAATTTCACATTTTTGTCGCTAAAAAAATTAACATTTAAAAAAAACGAGAAAATTTCTTTTTTTTCGAGATACCGAAAAATCTTACACTGTAAAACCGATGGGATTAAAAATAAATATTTTCGGATTTTTTATATATAAATATCCAAATGGATTAAAATTTAAATCAAAATTATCAAGTGAGAGAACAGAGAAGAGTGTAAGATGATGTTTTTTGGTGCTCGCTAGACGCATGATTTTTGTGATAATATCGATTTGATTATTTTGATTTAAATTTTAATCCTTTTGGATTTTTTTTTATCCATTTGGATTTTTATATATAAAAAATCCGAAAATATTAATTTTTAATCCCATCGGTTTTACAGTGTAAAGTTTGTCGATTGATCTGTTTATGTTTTTCATTTTGTTGGTAGCATTGGTGTAACTAATAAATAATAATTAATAAAAATTCTTATTAGTTAGTAGATTTGTTCCATTAGTACTTTATTATTTGGTAATTCATAGTAGCCACTAAGAAGTAATAATTATTATTTTACTAGCTACTAACAACTACTAATTATTAGATCTTAGTGGATTTTTTATTAGAATTTTAGTAGATATTTTATTAGAATGTTAGTAGATTTTTTATTAGAATGTTAATAGAAATTTTATTAAAACGCCTATTGATTCAATCACGATTGGTATTAGCTTACTATTCAATAGGTATCACATAGCAAGTTTATATGAAACTCTCGGAGACTCGGTATAGAGTACTCAAACAGTGAAAAAAGTCCAGATCGTGATTTAGATGATATGGAATGCGATTTTTTTCATTCTGATTTCACCCAGGGACCGGTTCGCGCATATTTCTATGCCTGATAGCTATGCTAAGCATAGCGGAGAGGCAAGCCGCAACGCACCCGTCGCCATTCGATTCGAGCTATATCTTATGCGTACGTCTCTCAAAGCACGGCCGCCTGCATACACGAACATGTGTATGTTCATACAGAGTGGACGGCAATGCGTCGGTTGCATTTGCCGCTATGCTTGGCATATCTATGCTACCTAGCGTATCTAGGCAAGCATGGAAATATGCACGAACCGGTCCCTGATTTCACCAGGTGATACAGAAAATTGAATAGTATTTGTAAATCGATGAAAAAAAATTAATTATTTTTTTCATTTTTCGCGATTTTCCACCATCTACATGGGATGCTTGTATGAAAAACACGGAAGACCGCTGAAATGGCACTGTCGTAGGTCCGTATATATTTGGCGTTTGCCATTTCAGCGGTCTTCCGTGTTTTTCATACAAGCATCCCATCTAGTAGGTGAAAAATCGCGAAAAATGAAAAAAAATTATTAATTTTTTTTTCTTCAATTCTCAAATACTACTCAACTTTCTGTATCACCTGGTGAAATCAGAATGAAAAAAAATCGCATTCCATATCATCTAAACACGATCTGGACTTTTTTCACTGTTTGAGTGCTCTATACCGAGTCTCCGAGAGTTTCATATAAACTTGCTATGTGATACCTATTGAATAGTAAGCGAATACCAATCGTGATTGAATCAATAGGCGTCATTTGGCTATTGCAAGGCGAGAGAAAGTTGCAACTGAGAAAATTTTAATGAAATTTCTATTAACATTCTAATAAAAAATCTACTAAGACCTAATAATTAGTAGTTGTTAGTAGCTAGTAAAATAATAATTATTACTTCTTAGTGGCTACTAAGAATTACTAAATAATAAAGTACTAATGGAAAAAATCTACTAACTAATAAAATTTTTTATTAATTATTATTTATTAGTTACACCAATGATGTGCGTCGCTGTGTGTGATGTGTCCTGTGTCCTGTGTCCTGTGTCCTGTGGCGTGTTGCCAAAATTTGTTAACACGATAAATCCTCTTCCAAAAACTCAATTCAAATTCTGACTTTGCAGGATGATTTGGGACTACTAGGAGACGTGCTGATTAGTTTTTGAGCAATATCTGTTGACCGGTGTAATTTTTTTTGGTCCGAATGGAGTACCCACAATCCCACATCCATACATTTTTGATCATTAGCTAGTAAAATAATAATTATTACTTCTTAGTGGCTACTAAGAACTACTAAGTAATAAAATGATAAAAATGATGAAACTAATAAACTAATAAAAATTCTACTAATTATTGTAGTAGAAAAATTAACGTCTATGGTTCGTAGTTTCTTTTGAGACGTCCGCCAGGTGGCACGTTATGTGATGTAACTAAGCGTCACCATAGCTGAACAGACAGGAGGGGGGGTGATTACCTCCCCCCCTGAGGCATCAAATTTTTGCGTTACCCCTTTACAAAATTCATTATTTTGGATAGAATTTTTCTCATTTTGCTAGGGTTTTTGGATCATAGATGAAATTTTCCTATTTTGCTAGGAGTTTTTGAGAAAATTACCCCCCCCCCCCCCAATAGTATAGGGCCAATACCCCCCTGAATTTTTCAGTCTGCCCAGCTATGAGCGTCACTGAAAATTTATATCACAACATTTCCAAAGTTAATGTGATACACGCTCAGTATTGCGTCACAGTGGCAACTTCGAAAGTTACTTATTATACATATACTATAAGAAATGAACTTTGAAAATAATTTTTTCTACTCATCTGTTTTATTTAGCGTAACCAAATTTTGTTTTGAAGAAAGATATTTGGTGTTTAAATTTCAAGGTGCTACGTAAAATAATGTAAACATATCTGGTTTTTAATTTCCATTAATTATTAGGGGAAGATGGAATAAAGCGGATAACATTTTGTTTTTTACTTTCATTAAACTATGTTATTTTGAATTCTCTAAAACAAAATGAAAATCAACAAACCAATCGACCAATTTTGACGTTTTCGGTACATTTTACTGAAATTTCTCGTTCACTTTTCATCCATGATCCCTTGAATTTGATGTCATTCGATCCCTTGATTTCATGAAAAAAAGAAGACATTTTATCATTTTCTTTCTCAAAATGCTATCTAGCGGCCCGAATGTGAAAGGTAAATAGTGATAAATATCGGATCGATATCATTTGTTTATGGAACATTGGACGATATCAAATAAATTAATATCCACTCAATTGAACCGTTAAATAATAAATAGCTAAAATGCGTTTTTGTCGTTGTTTTGTTTCTTGGTCTTGGTTTCTGTAAGTGGTTCTCGACAGTGGACCATATCAAGTCGTTAACCAATAATACCAAACCATAATATGTTCGTTATATGTTGTTACAGCATGACCATAATGAGTATTACCTTTGAGTAATAAAACATTAATTTTAACTTCACACTTGCCCAAAAATGTATATCGAACAAAAATAAATGTTTAAATATGTTGAAGTATGATCCGATTTTTTCATAAAAGGTTTATTTGTCATATTTGAACGGTAATAAACTATTTTTTGTTGTACCATTACTTCATGAGAGCAAGTTCCACATAAACTGAAATAAATGGTGTTACCTTCTGGTCTATAAATGGTGCATACCTTAAAGAAGATAAGACCCACATGAGCTTCCGCTAAAAATGCGCCAGAAGCTATGATAAACTGCTTAGTGAGTGAATCATGGTTGTACACATGCAAATATTTGTGGAGTAATACCAAAAAAAAACATCACTTTGATCTTAATTGTCAGGTACTCTTTTCATATTTTAATTGAATAGTATTTTTTGTTATATCTAACACAATAGTATTCGCTTCCGATTTGTAAATAATTTATTGTACTTAATATCACCAAAATTAAAAATTAAAATTAAATTAAAGTTATTGAATAAACTTCCGCCTTGAGGCCCAAAAGGAAATATTTCGGAGCTCTGATTTCAGTGTCGTGCAAGCAACTTTGGTCTGAAACAAAACAAAAATAAAATTATTCTCCTTTTGGTTCTGCAATCTTCGTTATAAGCTTAAGCTTATAATAATTAGTTGAAACCGGCTCTGCTTTTATTTTGAAAGCCAACTCAAATTCAAAGGTGCAGGCATGATTATGTCGTGTTTTTATGTTGAATGAAAACAATGAAATGTTGACATAATCGCTATTAGGGAAGGACTGTCTTTCAGATGAATGCAATGAACAAAGATATGAACACACGGATTTTTTTTAAATACTTGTTTTTAGTTACTATAATTTATTTGTATCAATTTCTTTTCTACTAGTTTGGGATTATAATATATGTATGCGTAAGTATATAAAAATAACTATACAGGGTGGGCCAGAATAACTGCAATTTTTATATGTGCTCAGAAAAAGTATTGTTTTTTACTAAAATTGAATGAAAACTTTATTGGGATTTAGAATAGGGTCCAAAATTTTAAATTCATGTTTTGGTTTTGATTCTTCCTCCGTTTGCACGGATCACCAAACGCAAACGTCGTAAAAACGATTTACACGCGGACCGCACCATTTCGATGGGAATATCGTTCCGATTTTCTTTTTAAATGCATCCAATTTTGTGGTTTTCGTAATCTTCAGATCATTTAACTTTGATTGCATGTAGCCCCACACAAAATAATCCAATGGATTCAAGTCTGGAGACGATGGCGGCCATTCGTCTTTATCAATAAAATCAGGCACATTTTCCTTTAACCACTGTTGCACTCTGTTTGCTCGATGTGACGGTGCCCCATCTTGTTGAAACACCCATGGTTCATTACCAAACACTTTTTTGGCGTGTGGCAACAATTTTTTGCGCAATATTTCTTCTTCATACACAGCTGCATTGATTTTAACGCCACTTTCAACGAAAACAAGGGGAAATTTGTGGTCGGCCGAAACGGCGCCCCAAACCATGACACTTGACACATTTTGATATCGTTCAACGACTAAATCATCTTCAGGAATGTCCTCAATTGTCGCTGCGTATACACGATCATTTTGCGCATTGAGACTTGGCTGCAAAAGGAACAACTTCTCGTCGGAGAAAACGATGTTTGAGGTTGCGGCCCGGCTTAGCAGCTCTTTGCATTTTCGCTTTCTATCTTGCTTATTTTTTTTTTGTCAAACCATGTTTTCGGTTTTTTTTGAATGGTTTCATTCCCAAATCTTCTCTCAACACTCGTCGCATTGAAGATCGACTGATATTGTGCTCACGAGCTAATATTCTGGCGCTTCTTTTGTTATTTCGAAGAATTTTCTTTCGTACCTTTTGGACCAGACCTTTTGTTCGTACAGATCTTTTTCTGCCCGTTTTTCGCTTCACATCGACAGTTCCACGCTCCTTGTATCGTTTTATGGTGCGATGAATAAAATTCAAACTGATATTGTCGATCTGAAGCTTCCGAAAAATATCAATTTGTCGCAAACCTTTTTTATGCAAATTCAAAACGAGTTGACGTTTCACATCCATTATTGTAGCAAAGTAAACAAGAACTGCGCAATAATGTGCATCATCACAGTGGATAACCAAAACATGAATAAACATAACGGTAAACAAAAGAGTGACTGGAAAGTTATTATAGTAGTATCTACATAGGTGCGAAAAAAAATTGCAGTTATTCTGGCCCACCCTGTATATCGACAAACTCTAAAAATGTGTCGAATTCAAATTGTACAATAGGTTTGTATTTCTAAATATATGTCAAATATATTATATGTCATACATCATATGCCTTAATAAATTGTCTGAAGAAAAAAATACATGTCTAAATTGAAGTGTTGATTTTTCACTTGATTTTCTTCAATTTCTTTCTCTATTTCTCAACCTTTTCTCTGAACTAATTGTAGAACATATTCTATGTCTAATCGTGAGCTTATTTGTTCAAATTATTTTACTTTTTCTATCAACTGAGCGATCAAAGGAAATGTTGACAATTTTCTCGTGTCTACACGATCTTATTTCTTTAATTTATTATGAATTCATTGCTTTTTTTATTTAAAACAAATCCCTTTTCTCTCCAACTACCAAAATGAAATCTTCCATTTGATTTGAATGCACAACTATATTAATGAATTTCTTTGAAAAAATGTGTTTGCAATTGGCAAAACAAAAAATTGAAAGAAAATACGACTAAAAATTGTCACGTTTTGTGTCGGATTTTCCAGTTTTTTCTTTACTAACTTTTTGTTTAACTTTGATGATCACGTCAATTTATTATTTGATTCGCACTCACATATTTTTCGTGCATTTATTTCGTTTCTTTTTGTACTTATAGACAAACGGCACCATTGGTGTTTCTTTTTTGAGGAAAAAGTTATGAATATTTTCAAACGATCTATGGGATTTTTTTTTTCAACTCTTTGGCGTGTGCCTCAATTTCTCGTTGAACGTATGAGTAATTGATGTTGAAATTAGCCAAATAAAAAAGAAATCTTGGCCAAAGCGAACTCAATACGCGATATTCTTCAAATATATGAACCATTGGAATTGATAATCCATTCGCTTGGAAAAAAATTGTAGGAACTCAAACAAAGAAAAATGATCGTTCCTTGAATTTATTGCGGAACAATGAATCCCAGTCTCTTATCTAATGTCTCTCTCATGTCACAAGGCACATTGGGTGCTTCAATTTGAATTTTCGCTCAATTTATCATTCGTTCATTCAATCACATTCATTTGGCCACGCATTTATTCGAAAACTAAAAATGTATGGTTCTCATAAAAATGCGCCTTGCATTTATTTCAATTGTGTGCTTGCAAGTAATGAATCATTTATCTCGAGATCTGATTTTAAAATTTCACATTTTCAATTCTAACACAAAGAAAATGATGAAGAAAAATGTCATTTAAACGTTAAAAACTCCTAATTTTATGTCTATCACCCGCCTTTCGCTCAAACGTTTTATAAACAATATGAATAAGTCTTTGTCTCCATTTCCAATCCGATTAAAATCTATATAAATATATATGTACAACATTGAGTCATCGGCTTTCTTTAAAATTCTTTGCATACAAAAATGTGGTTACAATTAGCACGATATTCACAAATAAATAGTTCCTGTATACTTTGGAAATGGATAGAATCGATCTCAGTTTTTACCACCTTCACACACTCACATACACTTTGCACACAAAAACGAACGATGGAAGACATTTGAGTGAGATTTAATTTTAATTTGTTCAACGGTGTGAGCGGGCAAATACTTTTGAGATGATTCAAGCGTCTATATTGTAAGTCTAAAAACCATGTCCAGCGTGGTGCATTTCATAAATATTCTAATTCTAAAACTGAATTGGATTTGGAGCTAAGCACGATTCAGTTTTACAATAGGCATCATATTTAATCACGAAACAGCATAAAACCAAAAAAAAAGAGAACTGAAACCTTATAGAGCTACTCCATCGGCATATTTATAAATCAATACAATTTATGTGAAATTTCAAAATCAAACCCCATGATTCACTTGTTCACTTAGGTATAAAATGCTGTTTCTCTTCTTCATCTTAACTATTTCTCATCCTACACAATGATCATATTTGATGACAATTTTTAGTCACATAAATTAATATTTTCTCTCATTTTCGTTGCAAAAGACAAAAGGCGTGCGCGTGAGCAAAAGCACAATTTAAAACAAAAATAAAATCATTACACTCTCTTTGTCAACACAAATTCATTTATCCATTAATATTAATTATAGTTAGCATTCAAATGGTCACAATGAAATCGTCTCTCTTCCATTCACATTAATATAAATAAATAAACTAATAGCTAATGTGAAATTTAGTTACTAAAATACACGTGGCATTATTTGTTTATCATGCGGGAAAGAGGAAAATGAAAATAAATTCGGCACTGGGACAGTTTTTTTCTCTTTCTTCATTAAGTTTGTTGAAATGCGCATCTTTATTTTTATGATAGTCTAATTGGTTGATGGAGTATATGCCATGTTTCCACTTTTGGGTGTATGTGTATGTATTTGTTGGTCGATGAATGAGTTTCCACATATTTTCGGTTAGGAATCAAGCAACCTGCAATTAAATAAACAATTTTATTAATTCGATGGTAGAAATTGACACAAATTTAAATAGAAAATTATAAAAAAAGACGGAAAAAAATAAAGAAAACAAAACCGGCACACTCACCTCACCCAAAAACATGCGTTGCAATTGTGGCCGCTACAGCTACAGCTGTTGTCACACCAACTGTCCATCGATTCAATTTGAATCCACTACTAACAGTGCTGGTCGGAGGATTTTTTTCTTCTGAAATTGCATCACAAAAGTCATTCATTAGATTTTCGAAATTTTCACATCAACAAAATTTATCTATCTATATATAATCATTCCATCGTATTTTGTCCTCATTTTTTAATATTATTTTCAGGTTTCGGACGTTTTTGATTTGAAAATATTGGTCTTTTTCAGTCCAAAAAAAGTTTGATCGTTCGAAATCGCCATATGTATTGCAAAAAATCTCATTAAATATTCGTTTTGAAATTGTCAAATGTAAAAAAAGTCAAACTCATCGTTTCAGTGTAAAAAGCAATGAATATTCGTTGAAATGAATCACAAATGACCGATGAAAAAATAGATTACACGTTGCAGTCGTTCCGGAAGCAAATTTCATCTTTTTTTTCCCCTAAATCATTATGCAACATCGTATATGCGATGAATCGTTTGTATTATGAAACATTCATTACGATCAATCATCTGTGATGTGATGCATATATTGCATTCAATTGTGTTCCCGTTCCAGACAATCGACTGCGAATAACAATAAGAAACCACAAACAAAATGACGAATCGCATCACCGTTGATAACAATCGGTGTCAATCGTCATATTGCATGTTGAAGACGTCAAACAAATTGCAATTTAAAATATTTGTTTTTTTTCTTGTTTCGTCTTTGTCATGGATGATACAAACATTGAACTTGACTTTGCAGCAAAAGAACAGGAAACATGATAATGATCTCGAATCGTTGCATTATAGCTCATGTTGATGAATGAACGCGCAATTCCACAATCTCAATCATCATATTGTGAATCAATCAATTCCCATGAATTGATTTGTTTTTCACATTCAAATTGATTTTTGATAGGATTAATTGCGGAAAGACTGTGTCATCATTTAAAGTAATAGTATTCAATTTTTTTAAAACAATTTTGGCGTGAGATAACCACGGGAAATTCCCAATCGTTTGAGTAATTGTGAATTTGCTTCCATTTTTAGACAGAACAAATACTTGACATTTATACAAACTCGGCCCAACTGAGGTGTTTTTTGCATACAGGAACTAAAAAAATATAAAATGAAGAATTTCCGAAAATTGAATGCATCTGACTCTGCCTATTGTATGCAAAAAACTAACGCTCTCAATAACAACACCTCAAATATTAACAAGACATAAAAAACACATATTGTAATTTAGAAAAAAAATCTCTTTTTTGTTCGTGGTTTTTTTTCTCTTGAACTTGAACAGTTTTTCATCGAATTTTTAAAAAAATTTCTTTTAATTTACTGAAAATCAGATTTTTTCCAAAAGTTTTTTTTTGCCGAAACCAAGAACGATGAAAAGAGACGATTTTAATTCAATACATATAAACGACGTTGAACACAAACAGATAAGAACTTGTTACATTTTTGTCTTGACGAAAATTGGATGAATTTTGAATATTTTTTATTCGAATTATTTTTTTTAGATATCCAAAAAAGGATTTTCTGTCGTACGAAAATTCAAAATTCATCAATAAACTTATACTCAATTTAGAAGAAAAAAACGACCGCTTTTGAATGAGCAATAATTCCCGTTTACAATTATAACAATAAATATGAATTATATATTGATTGGACATTAACAAATATACACTAAACGCTACAAAATATACAATATATAAATAAGACAAAATGCAATGTTTACCCAGGGCCAAACGAAATTCATATATGTACACATACATAATGAAGGGGACATAACATAACATTGATGATGATGGTTTTTTTTGTGGTGGAGCATAGTCGAGAGATGGGAGTTTTTGTTTGTTGTTGTTGAATGTGTTATCAAAGGGGAAAATGTTGGTGGTGGTGTAGTTGTCGTTTTTTGTTTCTTTGCTTTCATTTTGAAAAACTTGTAAAAATTTGTGTGTTTAGTCTTTGTTCGAAAATAGCTATATAAATATATGTTGAGACATTTGATTTTTGTTTATTGGAGATGATTTGGAGAGAGAGAGAGACATAGAGTTCACGGAATGGTGTTTGTTTTATCGCATGTTAAATGTGTTTCTGAACCTGTTGATTTCATATCTTGGCCATATTCAGATAGCAATTGCAAGATTACACCATTCGACCATCCGAAACCTAATTGAATTTCGTACTCGCCACCGCCACCATATCCACCGGACTCTTCCGCCGAATACTGCAATAAATTAAATTCACAATTATTAAGTGGAAAACAAAGGAATTTGGGTGTTATTGTACCTTTTCGAACATAGCCCGTGTTGATTTGTACGCAATGAAATTTGAGCGAACCCATCGTGATGCCCATTCAAATGATTTTTTACAGGCTTCCTGTGTTTCGAGGGCACGTAATCCTTCGACTAATAGGTATTGCATGGGTGGCCAAACGTTTGGATAGTCCCATTGCTGGTTTTTTGAGAAAAAAAGGAATTTGGTGTTAGAAAAGTAAAAATACAATGATACTGTTTCTCAGAGCAAAATATGTGAGGTGGAGCAATCTTAGGAGAACAAAAGCCTTTTTAATTCATAATATTATCAATTTTGAATTTTTCATTTTTTGCTCCTTCCTCATCATCGACTCGTCAAAGCGAACCTCATACATATTGCTTTGCGAAAAATTTCAGGTATACCTTACTAATAAAAAATGCATTTTACTCACTTCACCCGATTGAATCAATGTATTTGGCACACCGCCCGGAAATAGATCGATGCCAGTTTCATTGATATATTTGAGCACTTTTTTTGATAACAGCTCCTTTTCGGCTGTATTAAAGGCACCAGTCCACAATGGTGACAAATTGGTTGGCACAAAGTATGGACGCGGTTTTTGATTAATTAAATCATAATCGAACCATGCACCAGCCTCTTCGTTCCATAAAACACCTTGAATAGCCTATAAATTTAAAAAAAAAAAACGTTGTTGAATTACACCCGTTTTGAATGCCGACCTGAGATCTAAATGTGTGAACTCTGTTACTTACATCGTACATTTCTTGAGCGAGTTGTTCGAATTCGGCCGATTTTTTTGGATTTTGTGCCATCAAATGAAAATCGGAAATAATGCGAGCATTCCAAAAAAGGATTGCATTCAATTCAACGGGGACAATTGATCGACATTTAAGATCCTTTAATTCACCTTCATTTGTACCATTTTTAATGAACCAACGACTGGAAAAGTCCATACCACTTTCGGCGCCTGCCTTCAATTCCGACCACATTGCCTCTTTTTCTTTTTCCGTTTCCAAATATTGAGCGGTTAAAATATCTTCGAGATAGGATTCAGGACGCGGACCCGTCGATTTATCACCATATACAGCGAGCGCATAGCCTTTCACTTCAACCATGTGATTGTTATAGAAGAAATAAAATTCACGTTCTAATATTGGTACAGCCATTTTCATAAAATCAATATCTTTTGTTTTTTCAACATAGGCCTTGATCATGCCGGCCAAAAGTGGTGGTTGTGAGCGTTCCGAATAATAGATTCGGCCACCATTCGGTATGAAACCGAAACGATTTATGATCGATAAGAAATTTTCAAGCATTCCTTTTGCGGTTGAATACATTTCCGATTGAAGCAATCCTTGGATTATCCAGTACGAGTCCCAATAATAAAATTCACGAAAACGTCCACCCGGAACGATTACCGGATTTTTCACATGGATTATTGAATAGTGATCGGGATTTTTCTGAAATAATGAAAAAATTCACGAATTTTCGAATCGCAATTTTGTTTATCGCAAATATTCTCAATAAAAATGATGACTTACCGCAACATCGTCAGTCATTTGACGTCCTAATTGTTTCCAAAATGCATGCAAATCAGATGCCCATTGTCGATAGTCAGGATCTTTGATTTTGTCCAAGAAAGCTGGACTTTCTTTCCAGTCTTGTGGCACCCACTGAACGAATTCAGCGCCAGGTTTCTCGAAATAATCCTATTTTATTTCAAAACGAACGAATTATATTTTGGTTTTTCTTTATGGCTGTTTGTTACATACGTTAACAAATTGTCGAATATCCTCTTTTGATGGTTGATTGTCATATTTTGCCATAAAATCCCTGAATGAATCCAATGTTGTCTGCGGCGATTCCTTCATTTTCATATCGACAAACGTTTTTGAATCATTGTACAGCTTGGCCATTTGCACGGTGTGCAATAAATCGCCTCGACAATACACCTCACTAGAAAAAAAAATCATTCGAATTAAAAACACATCGAGAAAAAAATAAGAACAACAACAAATCTGAAAAAGAGGCTTCGATTCGAAGGGTCAACAATTTTTGTGCTAATTATAATTCAGTGAATCATTTTATGTGTGTGTGTCGAATGCGAATGAAGTTTTGATAAAATGAACCAGCGATGATCAAAAAAAGCGACTCTTACCTTTGACAATGAGCGGGTTCGAATGTAGCATACTCATTGTTACTATTATGTCGTGAATTGATTGCATAGCTATGGACTAAACTACAACAACTAGTGATAAATGCAATGGCAACGGTAACACTTAACGAACTTAACATTTTAGTGTTCTAGTTTTCTTCGGCCTTCAATACGGTATATCTGCTTGATTGTCTTTTTATTTTTTGTTCAATTTATATCACTATCTATTAGTCAATATTTGAATTGTAGTATGGACGCATTGAAGTCGATTTATTGGTGTATTGTAGATGATTCTGAAATAAATAGTTGACGAACGGCTTAGAAAAGTGAACCATTTTTAATGCACTTTTCCGATTCCATGGATTTTTTGAACGGCGAGTCCAACGATTTTTCTTATTTTTCAGTCGATGAAAAAAAAACCAACGATGGCTCAAAGAAAGCTCTATTCGAAGAAAAATGAAGAAAACCTATCCACGGACCAAGTCAATTTTTCCCTTCGTGATAAATCGAACGGACTTAGCTATTAGGCAAAGTAAAATGTATGATTTATTTTTTTCTTTAGCTATTTACAGAACTCCACAACTAAAAGAAAACCCCTATGCCCAATCACAATTTCCGTTTCAATTGATTCAAGATGCCAAAACACATGCGAAGAAATAAAAAGAGTACAAATATGATAATTATGATGAACTAAGTGTGTGCCATGAAAAATGGTGAACAATCATAGCGTACACATTTCAAAGTTTCACCAAATGTTTTAGCACAAAGACCGGACTGATTCAAATGAATTCATTCTCGATTTTGTAATTCAAAAAAATATGAATTTGTTTTGTTGAAGAAAAAAATCAGAGACAAATCATTATAGGCGCATTTGAAAAGCCGACCCATAACATTTGTGTCATGATCTTTTGCGTTATTTCTTTCCTTGTCTTCCTTTACTTACAAATTAGATGCATCAATTTTAAGATCACTTAATGGTAGAGTCGTTTCATCAGCGCTAACACGGAGAAATGATAAAAGAAAACGAATGCAAAATGTTCAATTAAATTAACCGTTTTGGCTGCGTTTGGAGCAAATACTATTTTCTATGGGTTTTTTTTAAAATAAATCTAAAGTGAGAAGAAAATACACTTTGCGATGCGATGCGATAGAAAAACGGTTGCCCTGAATATCTCCAATAGATTTGGAACTTAACTTATAATATAAACTAATGAATACTTTTTTTTCTAATGAAAACAAAATATCAAATCCTAATGCACTAACAAAAACCTCTCCTCTGAATATATTAATTAATAAAAATAATCATCTCAGAATCAATAGAAAGAAAAATCCTTCCAGAATGAATATTCAAAAATCAAAAAAAAAAAAAAAATGTGGAAATGCCCGCACTTGAAAACTTTTATTGATTTTTGTTTTTCTCCAATCACCGAGTCAATTTCCGTAAGTGTTTGGCTTAAAGACACTTCCTTCGACCGATCTAAAACTGAATTGTTGCACGTAGTGCACACCGCTTTTATATCAAAGTCTATTTCAATCGTTTTGACTATCGTTTGTATTAATTTACGTATGTGACGATCATTCAAAAGTGGGCTCATTCGAGTTTTTGTTCGGAGTGGGTTAATTCGAGTTTTTGCCACCGTATTGACTAGACGTTAAAAAAAAATACTTGGTTCTTAAGGAATTAAAAAAAATAATCACGTTTTTAATTTGTATCAATTCTTTTTTCTGGTTTTTTCAACATTTTACCCTTTTTGTTTACGGTAATATATCGTGAGGAGTGTCAGAGCATACCAACAGATAAATTTATCAACATTTATGAAACTATTCAAAAGTAAAGGAGATTTCATTTTATCATCGTGTGCAGTGCAATTACAACAAGGCACATGCGAGTCAAAGCAACGCAATGCATTCGATTTATGTGATCAAATATTCTGGTGAATCGATTTTTTGATAATAACGTTATCGGTATACCCTGTCTGAAGTTTTACGCAGTTTCAATGCAAATTACAACCATTTGAATTGATCTTAAGATCAAGGGTTAAATTTGATAAAATTTTAAGATTCATCGTAAATCAAAAACTTGTTTGCTCCACAATCAAAAACTTCAAAATTAATTGGTTTTAAAAACCATTAGATCGATTGTGATGGAAATACCAATTAACTGGCATAACGACGTTTTTTTTTTAATTCTAAAAATCAAATGTCAAATCATACATTCAAATCGACATTTGATGCATTCAATTGATCGCAGTTTTACTGTACGAATAGAGATGATCTAGGGGTTTTGGACTCCGCCCGGGTGCCATGGCAAGAAATGCATTTCTTGGTATTCGTAATCCATTACATTGGATCCGCACTGACCTATCATACAAAATTCACTGAATTAACCGCAGAAGTTCGCAAAGATTTCGAACCCTCTTGGAGATGATCATATGTTGCCATGCAATTTGCGATAATAAAAATGCTAATGGAATTGGCGACTGATAAATCCATTCAACATTTTATTATCTACAATCCACAATCATTTGGCTTTCAAAAAAAGGTGATTAATTAGGAGCTAAAAAAACTGTTTATTATGCTATATTTTTGATGATAAGTTCAAGGAAAAACTGTATGTGTGATTGTCAACCATCAAGACCGGCGAAAAATGCGAAAGAGAGGAAATTTATTGCAGGAAAGCAACAAACCAAAATAATAATAAAAAATCAACTCCTTTCTCTCTCTCTCTCTCTCTCTCTCTCTCTCTCTCTTTCGGTTGTATTTTGCCATTGGAATTTTTCCGAAAAACGACAGATTTTCTCGAACAAACAATAAACCAAAACATTTTTAGTTCAAAGCTTTCGGAAATTGAAAAACACAAGTTTATCTCTCCGTCTCTCTCTTTCTCTCTCTCTCTCTCTCTCTCTCTCCAATGCACACCTTCATTTAATTTTAAAAATTGAATAATTTACCGAGTCACGAGCGTAAGTTGGGCCGCGCAAACGACCACCTAAAACTCTCACTCATTTAATTGTCGAAACAAAAAGAATTTTGTTTATCTGTATAAACCGGAAAAATGCGTTGACTCACGCACAAAATTTGGGTTAAAAAAACAGTTCCGAATTCGAAAAACGCCGCACACAAGAATTTACGGGTGACATCTCATTAGCTATGCACACCGTGCATTGTAAGGTGTGTGTGTGTGTGTTATCAATGAGGTTTTTAGGCACTTTAAAAGTAGTGTTTATTGTTTGTATGCACCTATTTTATGAATCAAACGGTAGATAATGAACAAATTAGAACTGGATCAATTAGGCGAACAAAAACACCTTCGATAACATCGGTTTCGTGATTGTTTTTTTCATTTCCATCCAATTTCATTCCATTTCGTTTCATTTAATTTTTGGAACATCGTATACCGTCCACCTTTTTGGTCACATTTAAAGATGAATAGACGCGAATAAACAAACAAAATTAAAAAAAATAAAAGATGTGCATAATAGAGCAAGTACGCAAAAATGCTCCCTTTTAATGAAGTGGAAGTGCACGAATCAAGGTGAATTCAATTATCGAAAAACGCACAACAAAATACACCAATATCCAGACAATTTAATGACGAACGTTTGCACGCACATAATAAACACTCGTTCGATCGTTTAAATTAAAACAAACGAAACAGTTGAGTCGTGCACAAGGCACAACTCGAAGCATTTTGTTTTAGCTGATATTGGTGCTTTAATTCGATATTTGCAGCAATAAAGCGCTTCGATAATTCGTTTTTAAATTCTTATCTTTGATTGCTCTTATCAATATTTTGTGAAAAAGACGATGAATGCTCATTTTTATTGGTAACGCTAATTTCGTTCAGATTTCGTTTTAAATTCTCCGTTAACGGTTTTCAAATTCCACTCAATTTCGATGGAATGCACTGGATTTGATGGGTTCAGACGTGACAGTCAAGAGCTGCTTGATAATTGATGTGAATGTGAAGAGAACCATCAGAATATTATTGGGGCATTTGTGTTTTCATACGAACGAAGAAAATCCATCGAAAAACTAGAAAACATTTAATTCCCGTGTCAATTCTAATGAACGCACGACAAATGAGTTGAACATAAATTTGCACCAAGAAGCTCAAATAACGGTACAGTTAGCGTAAATTTTGTGTTTTTGCTGATTTGCATATTATCGTCGTACTGTTTTAAATGAGAATTCGATACGACCGACCGAGAACAAAACGAAAACAAACAAACATCGTTTGTTTTGAACAATTACAACGTTGAACAGTCCAAATGAAAAACAATGAAACGTGTGATTTACTACGTTACGTCTGCCCAAATCACTAGTTTGCATGCACCAATCGAAATCGCGTTTTTATCAAAGATTTTGTCATTTAACCGTAGTATGACTACAACCAAATTAATGACTGGTTGCACTTGCTTATTCTATTATATTCATATTTGCATTTCTTTGTTTCAACTTATGTAAAATCATTTTCAAATTAAATCCGCACCATGTGCAGAAAAATGGTGTGAAATTACAATATTTGATTGTCAATTTCGGATTGTTAACGACTGTCATCAAATACACACCGAACTGAATCGATCAAGCGATAGACTCTATGCCAAACCAATTGAACATTAATTGTAACAGTGATGATTGTCATTGAACTATCAGAAATCATGCAATTAAATCACCGCGCATGCAACGGAAATTCGTTTTAAATTCATTTTGATTACAACTGACACTTTCACATTGCAACTGAAATGCTCGCTATCTGACCGAATCGCGTGACTCAATAAATCATCAAAAAGTACTCTCATTAAAAAAAAAGTTTCTAAACAAAAGACCAATTACAATTATAATGAAAATTGTGTCACATTTTTGCATTTATTCTCATTTCATTACACAATAATGATGCTTTCTCATTACATTGGAATGCCTTTCACAAAACAAATCGAGGGAGAGAGATGGAGATCGAGAAAGATTTAAATATCATGGCTCAAAGTTGACTGACAAAAATCTGATTGAAATCGGTCGATTGCCGTCATAATGCTGGCTACATCCTATTGTGCATCTCGTTTGTTGTTTGTTTTCAGTTTGTCATTGCCAGACTATTGAATTATTCTGGCACATTAATACGTAAAAAAAGAGCAAATAAAAGCACGGGATCCACAGTGTCTGCGAATTTCATGTAAGAAATTTCATGACATGCCTGCTGCAAAATCCAAAACTGACGACATATTGGAACTTTCCATGCACAAAAATGTCATCGACATTGTTTGTTTTTCGTGCAAACAGCACCATCATTTCGAGAAAATTATTTTTTATTGTCAAAAATTTGTTGAAACGCTTATAATCGAACATTAGTAAAATGTAATACAGGCGAAAATCATGTTTTACGGCTCATTTCGGCATCCAATCAACTTTGTCACCTTGAAGGTAAAAATGTCATATTATGGCCACATAAATCCGTGTTGCCATAGTTTTTGTTTTCAATTACCTCAATAATTGAAATTACGGTCGGATTCGCTTATCTCATTTTATGGCATCAAAAAAAGATGTCGTAAAATTGTAAATATCATATTTGATCGTACATTGAAAACATGTTGGGAATTTTATCTAAATAATAGTAAAGTAGATGCTTGGGGGCACGTACAAATCAGTTTACACCATTGGCTTTTTTTTAATAAAAAAAGAGGTTTGTCTATGATAAGAGCAGAAAAATGTATCGTAACTTTGGAGGAAATTTTATTATTGAATTGAGCAAAGGAAAAAAACACTTGTTTTGACTAAGAATTCCATTTAAAAAAAGAACTTGATGTCTGAAATCTGTGGATAAATATACCCAAAGTAAACACCGTATCGTGTGTAAAACCAGTTGGACAATGAATTGAAACAAACATCAACGAAAAAAATTGTCTGAAAAGTATTTACCGAAAATGGCGCACATTGATAATGAATTAGAACAGACACGATAAACAAACAGCTATTTAGTTTTATTGAACGAATTGAAGAAACAAAAGACGAAAAAACACAAGTGAGGGCGTAATTGACGAGCCCATCACACTTTTATCCACTCTATCTTTTTTTATGGTGATCGTATAATCGGTGCAAACACTACAAATGACAACAAACAACCATTTTTATTCACTATTTTCTCGAATAATTCAAAACAATTAGGTGGAATTAATAAATAATAAAATGTATGTATGTTTTTTTTCTGGTTCAAAGTCAATACGTCGCAAATTGCAACGAATGAATTTAATGTCAATTGTGGGGGCGAGAGAAGCAACACACAAACGGAAAAAACATATTTTTGAATCGAATTTGAATGCCTACTTTTATCCAATTGCGTGGATAATTTGGCGTGAAACTCGCAATAAAAAACTGGCATTTTGTTATGCTTACAGATAAAGGTACTCCTGTTTCTCTTTTTGCTTGCACTCTTCACAAAATAGTTGATATGAATAACAATCCATCAATGGAAATAACTGTTGAAGTTTTTTTTCTTCTTACAGCATGAGTGCGTGTGGCGTCTATTTACGTTGGCAATAAATAGCCAAATTAGAAAAAAAGGTAATTATTAACCACTGTTCGAAAAAAAAGTTACAATTTATTAGCGAATTCA